TCAGAGAAATAGTTCTTCGAAAGACGATGAGAGTTTTGGTTTCTTTGAGGGTGCACCATCATCAAATACTGGCCGTAAGTCTTCTGATGACAAGGTTGTTGTCTCTTCTTCTTCTTCTGATTGGGACTCTGACTTTCAATCTGCTGACCGTTGTCTTTCCCATGAAAAGATTAGTGGTGATCCGTTTGTAAGTTCTCCGATTCATTTGGCTGCTCAAATGGATTCTGTCTTTGGTTCCGGGAAAGATTTTCTACCCTATGAAAAACCAGCAGATTCTTCAATTGCTTATGCTTCCAATGCTGGTGATTGGTTGCAAGATGATTTATTTGGTAATGTAGCTGGCAAGACTCAGAACAATGACCCAGCCGTCCATGATAAGAATGAGGGACAGGTTGTGGGCGGTAATGAAAGCTCATCCATGGATATTGATTGGATTGGAGATGATCTATGGCAAACCAATGAAAAGAAACCCATTGAGAAGACAACTACTGATGATGACGATGACTGGAATGATTTTGAAAGTTCGGCTAACAAGGCTCCTATTAATCCGCTTCCTCAAACCATGGAAAGCTCCCAAGAGAAGATTTTTGATAGGCTGGCGCTTGTTAAGAACGATGTTAAAGAACATACCGAAGATGCGAAGCAGAATACTGGTACAAGTGTGATCTCTGACATAGGCAAAGGTCAAGAAGATGATCTCTTTGGGACTTGGGATAGTTTCACATCCTCCACAGTTTTGCAAACAACTGTGCAGTCTCCTACCAACCATGTGAATGCTGAAATGAACTTGTTTGGGGCAACTAACAATCACCGAGATCTTGATTCTGATTTCTTTTCGGAAAGTATTGGTGGCCAAACCAACTCAAAGGAAGTCAAAGCCATGCCTTCTGGAACCTCAACTGCTTATGCTTCCAATGCTGGTGATTGGTTCCAAGATGATTTATTTGGTAATGTAACTGGCAAGACTCAAAACAATGGCCCGGCCGTCCATGATAAGAATGAGGGACAGGTTGTGGGCGGTAATGAAAGCTCATCCATGGATATTGATTGGATTGGAGATGATATATGGCAAACCAATGAAAAGAAACCCATTGAGAAGACAACTAC